ACTGATTTCAAATCTATAATCAGTTTCATTCTCCAAGCTACAGTTTGTTTAATATTTAATATTTCTTAGAGTGTCTTGTGTCGAAATGTATAAGTTTAAGAACGTTATACATAACAAGGAGTAGCATGGATGTCTTAAAAACTTTTAGTGATGTTAAGTCAAAGCATCAGGATCGAAAATACACAAGTAACCAAGCCCAGAAATGCCACCAAAACTCTGAAACTCGTATGTTCTGAACAGATTATAATAAGAAAGCCTCCCTAGTTGGGTTCGACATTTCCGAGTATGGATAATTGAACAATTTTCCTCTTGAGGAAGTACCCTAACTGCCCTAGAAGTTTATTGCAACATTTATGAGATACCCTGTAATATGTAACGCTTTAAAACTTGAACATTTCGACAAACAAAAATGAACTAAAAATGTCATTTTAAAAAAAGTAGCTATAGAAGCAAAACTAATGTCAGATTTGAAATTTCCAAACTCGAATAAAGCAAGATTATTAAAATCATTAAAATTAAGTTTCGTGTAATGCATAGAAAGGAATTTAGTTGTTGCTGTTGCTTTTTTTTAAAAAAAATATATACGTATTCCAATTTAGTATGACTGCCGCTTAGCCTTTTTGCATTAACACAGTTTTAAAAGAGGAAAGTGGTACTTTTTGCAATGAATCTCACATGCTTCTGTAATTAAAAGAAATTTTGCTACCACAAAATTTAAGTATACCTCAAATATGAGCCGCAAAAACCGTATGAAATATAAAACATATATATCTCAAAATCAATTGAAATATGTGTCTAACATAAATTGAACTAATTCGTTTTTCTTATTAAGCTTTGCATCACAGGGATAAATTAATAGAAATATTTCAATAAACTAACAAAGCGAAAAAATTATCTTATTAGAAATATAGTAAAAAAGATAATAAAATTTCAATATTAATTTATTTATTTCAGTTTGAAAACTAATATATTAAAAATAGTATTGCTTCTGTTTCATGGAAAAAATTTTAGGAGAAAACTAAACTAAAGTAATAAAAAAGATATAAAAAAACTCTATAAAAACTCTATATTTAATAATATTTTTAAAAAATCATCAAGAATAATAATTTTAAGAATTTCTTATAGTTAATCCCTACATTTTCGTTTATTCGTAAATTATAAAAATAAATATTAATAACTTTAAGTGAGCCTTTCAGAAAAAAACAGCTGGGATAAAAATAATTTTCCTCTGCTTCTTTATCTCTAAACAAATGAGTTTCTCATAAATCATTATTTTTTTATGCAAAATAAAAAAAATCATAAATGAAAAAAACATCATCCGAAGATTATAGTCTACTGCCAATAATGAGCTTTAAAGCTTAAAGTAATTTCATTATTAATAAAACTCTTAGAAGAAAAATTTAAATAATACTTGAATGTTTTCAATTCACAAAAATATTTTTAAAACTATTAAACAATCTTCTTAAAAAGCTTTATTATAGTTCAATATAAATTAAGTGTGGTTTTTCATTTCCATTTATCTATTTATTCAAAACTTAAACTTTTTTTATAAACTTAGTTAAGATGAACTAAATAATATACTTTCAATCAGTTATTAATAAGAGTAATATAAATAAATACTTTCAATCAGTTATTAATAAGAGATGTATTTCTTTTATTAAAATGAGAAGAAAATATGGGCAGAACAATCAAGAATATCATAAAATTTACAATATTTCCGGTTCTTTAGGAACACCAAAAATCTTTCAATTTACCCAAGTGCTTTGCAATGATTTTGGTAAAATTTAAAAAACAATATTTTGTAATGATTGAAAAAAAATTGGTTAACCCCTTCCTTCTGACTCCCATGAAAATGACGGAATGAGGTTTCGCCCTCTATTTCTCGCTCCCGTGATATTTCCGGGCTGGAGTGTTCAGTAGTAACGCGCCAATAAGAATAAAATTAATCAATTTTTTTTTGCCCGGAAAACATTTTATTTCTCATTTTATTTCTCATTTTACACACCAGATAGCAGTATCAGAATATTTTTAAGGTAATTGTAGATAATAAGTTTATGTTAAACTAGATATCAGCACTAATCAAATACGTGTATTTGCGGTAGAAGAAAAAACTAGGCACTTTTATGACCGTTTTCTTGAAAATTACCCAATCGTTAAGGGGTAAATGTAATAAAATTTAGTAATTTTATCAAGATACCTGAGAGCATGGCATAAAAGCCATTTATTCGGTTATTTTGCAAAATGGAATTTGTTTACTAAATGTATGGAAATAAGAACTAGATTTTTGTGAAACAGAATTTCTGATAAACCGTTATCATGAGAACGAAAAAATTACCAAATGAATGGTTTAAGTACAGTATATTCTGGTTTCATTAACCAAAAGTGGGGCTTTTTATTAAATCTGTAATGTTCGGTAATTTCACCAGAATTATTATTTTTTTATCTAAACTAATTATAATTGTTTATAATCTAAACTAAGTTACAAAAAGGACTTTATTAACACTGGAATTGTCTTCTTATAATCAGTTTTTATTCTGAGAGATATTTATAAAAAATTAAATTACCGAATATTCAAAACTTTTACTTTAAAAATCACATAACCTTATACATTTTGAAGCTTTAATAATTCTAACAGTGTTTACATTTTCTGATAAAGAAAGTATTAATTTTTCAACGCCAAAATAGCAATATGCTTAAAAAAATCTATTATTTAATAATGAAAAGAAGAATTTGTGCGTGTGTGCCCCACTTAAATTTCCAGAACTATTTGTTATTGATTATACGCTTTTCGCCAGGTATAAAAGAGTATTCCGGGAGCATTAATGTAAAAAATATATTAATGATGTTTAGTTCTCGTTAAATATTTAAAACACTTTTTTCTCTAACAAAACTTTTGAAAGATATAAAAAATGTAAAAAGTAGCAATAGCTTTGCATCACCCTTATTCTTTAAGGTATTATTATTTTTTTATCTTTATTTGTTTTTTGTTTTATACGAAGAAATGATTATTAGCTCTACTTTGAAACGTAAAGTAAAAAAGGTTAATTAATAAATTCCTTCTCGGGTTATTCATAAAGATGAAAAAAAACAAGGCACAATATATGTTTCTCATATTTAGCTCTTTCACTGCTCTGGATACCTAGAAAACTAATTTGTGAAAATTGACAAGGGTGATTGTCTAATATTCATCCTTTTCTGCTGAAACTATTTAATTATATTCATTATATTCACTTTCGTTAATTAATAAAATAATGGTAAGTATTTTTAATCTAGATCCATATATCATCCGGAATTTGAATATTAATATGCAAGTAAATTATTTAATTTTCTCATTGTATGCAATAATGTCAAATTTAAGCCATAATTTGATGAAATGAATATTAATATGATTTTGCTGGAGCTTTGAACAATTATTAATAAAACAGTTTGTGCTATATACTTTATCAAATAAAAAAATATGTTGCGTTAAAAAAATGAGCTAATTTTGCTATCTAATTTAGTTTAATTGAAATTTAGACGAATTATAATTTTAAAAAAATTATGAAATTCATATACCCCTTATACATTTATTTTCTAACAAATTGAATCAAACCATTTTTTATGCGTGTCTCTTAACATGCATAATTATAATGATGACATGAGTGAAATTATTTGTCTATTGCCGATTTTTCTTATTTAAAAATTTTTATTGAATTTTCAAAAAGATTAAAATTTGAATAGTTATTTCTAAAAAAATTACTCTTTTTCCTTGTGATTTTAGCTAATGAAACTTAGCCAAAGTATTTGAAAGCGTTTTTTTTATTCATTTATTTCTGAATAATATTTGTTGCGTCAACAAAACTATATCGAGAATTATACTGCGATATCTATAGCTGGAAGAAGTTTTATATTTCTTACATCTAAGCGTTCGTACTAAACATATAAAATAACGATGCTTAAAATTTGCAATTAACTTTTGAAACATTTCTTTTTGAAAGATCAATTTTTGTTGCTTCAAAAATGTCCACTTTAAGTGTTTTGAAAATTTATACTGAGAACAAAATTATTGTGAAAACTACCAGAATATGGTAAAATTTACCGTGCTCCGGGATCTATGGAATACCGAAAAATTCAGTAATTCTTCCAAAGTGCTTCAATTATGATGTTAATAAAATTAGCAATAAAATTAACAATAAAATATAGTTTTATAATATGTGATAAAATTGGGTAAATTTGACAATTTTAGCATGATACTATAGAGCATGGTATAAAAATCTTTTACTCAATGCAATTCACTTTTCAGTTTTTGTATTTGTTAAATGTGTGGTTATAAGAATTATAACTTTGAAAACCAGAATTTCGTTATACCGTTACCATGTGAACGGTAGAATTATTAAGTGAATGGTTTAATTTTGGTTTTTATTACCAGAATAATGTTGTCGTTTTTTTTTTTTTTTTTTTTTTTTTTTTTTTTTTTTTTTTTTTNTTTTTTTTTTTTTTGCGAGAAACGTCATTACCATTCTGAATGGCAATTTTATTCCGTGTGATTAAATGTGAAGTGCTCCGTGTGAATTGCCGTTGAATATAATGTACAAAAATTAATTCTAATTCATTTTTGCACATTAAATGCATCCCACTTCAAAACATGGTTAATTTAGTTTTTTTTTCTTTTTGTAAACAAATCTATATACGTTAAAGATAATTATGTTTAAAAACCAAATATTTTTAAAGTCATTCATGATTTGTGAGCTTTCAATTTCAATACTTTTCCACTTAATACAAAGTATAAATTCAATTTAAACCTCTTTAACATCGATAGATACTTATACCCATAATAAAAATCCCTATTTTTTTAAAAAAATATATCTATATTTTTGTCAAACTTTAAGGTCCTTTACATGATAATCACGCTCCAAATAATCTTTATTTAAAAACCAAATAAAAAAGAACATTTTTTGTCCTACATTTTATTTTTTCCACTGAATGATAAGTTTTTTTATTTCTATTCTCTATCATTTCAGACTATCCACCAACTTTGTTAGAAAGCTTCAATGATCAGACTCTGGAGCCTGGACCATCTGTGACACTAAAGTGCGTGGCTCAAGGAAATCCACTTCCACAAATCACTTGGACCTTGGACTCAAATATTATACCAGAAAATCCACGCTTTCGCCTGGGTGACTATGTAAGAACTGGTGGGGGATCCACAGAAGTGGTCAGTTATGTCAACATCACGTCCGTCAGGCCCGAAGATGGTGGACTTTACAAATGTGTGGCCACAAATGACGTCGGAGAAGCAAGCCATTCAGATCGGTTGAATGTCTTCGGTCCGCCATTTGTCAGAACTATGGCTAATATGTCTGTAGTAGCGGGAGAAACATTACGGTTACAGTGTCCCGTTGGCGGGCATCCGATTGAAAATATTAAATGGGAGAAAGGTAATATTAGGATTTATGTTTCAGAAATGTTAGATTAATCTAAGAAATTTGTTCAGCGAGTGTAAGATTTGAATCTTTCTGGTTATGTAACGTTCGCAATTATTTTATTCGGAATCTTATTTCATACATTATGTTTCTGGTATGACATAAGAATTAGTTTTATTTCTTAACTTTGATTGATTGTAATATGGCTTGACTAAAGAAGGATTTATGATTGAAAGTTTTATGTTTCTCGCTGTGAGAAGGATATTTAAATGAAAATTATGTTTGAAATTTTTTTTTTCTTTCATAAAATAGCTTTAATAAGGGAATTTATTTGTAGTTAGAAAATATGTCTTGGATTACAAAATCCTTAAGTAAAAACGTTAAATATTAATTATTACTAAACCATGAATTTTAAAAGTTCGCGTTATAATTATAGTTTAGTTTTTATTAAATTTTGAATAAGTAAAAGTATAAAATCATAATTATTAGATTAATTTAATTTTTCAGTAAATATAAAATCAAAAAACAGAAATAGTAAATCGAGAAATTTGAGACAACTCTGCTTAATATTGAATGAAATTATTATTTTTTTAAGTTAATATAAAATTAGGTAATTAATTATTCTGATCACCTCAAATAAGGAATCTGATATTTTAGAAGCAGGTAAGTTGCGGAACTATACTACTTTTAAATTGTGCTAATATTCGTAATGTATTTACTAATACCATAATATTGTTAACTTTCTTTTTTTTTATAAATTAACCATATTTGTTGATGTACTAAATTATTCCTAAAAGGTTGGATCGTTTACATTTTCACTTCATAAACATGAAATAGGAAGAAAGAAAACTTTTTACCGTTCAGGATTCTGCAATACTCTTGTAAGCGACCGTAATATTAGATATTGAAAGTCTATCATGCATTACATTTAAATATTAATACATTAGAACACATTTTTAAACTTAAGAGAATTTCTAATGTAATCAAATGTCATTCACTTAAATAACTCTCTGATGTATTCTTAAAAGAATTCATATAAACTAATTAAATTGTTTAATTAGGAATTTCAAAATTTTACTCGATTTATCATGCTAATAATTGCCTAAGTCATACGACATAATTTAGTAAATTATTAATTTCTTCATTAAAAAATATTCCTTTTAATTTATTTTTACATCGTTTTGCAAGATATTTCCTTATTCGCCCAGTTGCTTTTAAGGCCAGGGTTTTAAAATATCATGCAGAAAGTTTGATTAAGAATTATATTTTTGGAGATCAAAATACTGAATATTATTAGACATCCACCTTAGCTTAATTTTTTGGTCATTTTACATAATTATTTTTGTTTTTATTTACTAATGTTCAAAGCAATTACGTTCAAAGCATATTATTTTTTCACACGTATTTTCTTTGAGTTCCTCTTTTATAGCTGCTTTTAAAACCAGTTTTTTGAAATAACGTAAAATTCATTTGATTTACAAAGTTTTCATTTCTTTTTATTTTCTTCTTTTGAGTGAAATGCTAATTACTTAAACCAGAAATTTTATTAATTTCCAACACTCCACACATTACAAATTTCAATGTATGTCTTTTCTCTTCATTTGAACTGATACCAATGACATATTGATCACCTATTCAATACTTTAACGAAAATTTTAGAAATAGTATTTCGGAAGATTTAAAATTAATTTTTACTAGTATATTCCATTTTATTTATTAAGCTTATACACTGTTAGAAACTTCTCGGAAAAAATTGCTAAATAACAATTTTTTTAATTGTTGTTTTACCATCTTCAAACTAAACAAAAATAACCCTAAATAATATTTCCTACATTATCTTCAACACATGAAGAGTTTCCTGTGTCCTGCAACCCTCAATTTGTGACTCTGGATTATTAAAGTACAGTATTATAATTCACGCATAGATGGCAGCACCTTCACGCAAAACGTCTAGTATTTCTCATCTCTTACGATAGATGAAACAACAAGATGAACTAATTAATCCACGTCCCATGATTTATTTGATAAAACACAATTCGATACCACTCTAACTCCAATACTCATCCCCTAACAAAAAAAAAACTAAATTTTAACGCTCAGTTAAATTTCTCTTTCGCAGTGAAGTTATGCTAGTTTTAAATGACAAAAAATCTATATAGTTTTGTGTTTATCGTTTTTAACCACACTAGTTGTAAGTAGTTTCAAAACTGTAGCGATAAAAAATGTTCTTTACCGTAAACTTTACTGTTAACTGAATTGAATTGGATGGACAGACTGCGGTCAGTTGTTTTACCATAATTTCAGAAGGAAAATTCTAACAATGTTTGATATATTTAATTTTCGCATGTTTCAAAATAACACAAAATCATTTTATTTCGCTAAAATATGCTTCGATGTTGAATTGAACAAATGAATCAGCGTCACTGAAGTATATATGTAAACTATATTAGCTATAATACATTTAAATGTAATTTTACAAATGAAAACTTTTTTCAGAATTCTAACAAAGAGAAATCCACTCATTATTATTTTAAAATGCGTGTTAAAGGTGGTATTACAGAGTTAAATATTTTTCTCTCTTCGTAACATTTTCTCCTAATACTTAAATCCTTCTTTAAGTCCCAAAGCTTATTTTTTTAAGGAATCTTTTTTTCTTTTCCCCTAAAAATCTGCTATTTCTTAGATTCTTGGTTTTAAGCAGATAAAAGACTATCTTTAACAGTATTCATAAGCCATTAGAGTTACTAANAGACATGCCATCACAATTTTGATCCTCTGCAGAGGTGATGACACCCCTGCTTCGGTAGCTCGTCCAGTAGAGGATAGTCTACTTTACTCGTCTGTCAATTAATACTAATAATATATTGGAATTTTTGTTAGTTAAAAATAGTTAAGTAAAAAATTATACAATTGACCCCACTCTCCCCTATATATGTAAACTATATTAGCTATAATACATTTAAATGTAATTTTACACAAGAAAACCTTTTTCGGAATTCTAACAAAGAGAAATCCACTCATTATTATTTTGAAATGCGTGTTAAAGGAGGTGTTACAGCGGTAAATATTTTTCTCTTTTCGTAACATTTTCTCCTAATACTTAAATCCTTCTTTAAGTCCCTAAGCTTATTCTTTTAAGGAATCTTTTTTTTTCTTTTCCCCTAAAAATCTGCTGTTTCTTAGATTCTTGGTTTTAAGCAGATAAAAGACTATCTTTAACAGTATTCATAAGCCATTAGAGATACTAATTATATGGAAATATAAGGAAAGGAATAATTTTGCGCATATTATTTGGTTTTAAAAAATTTCTTGATTTTTATTAGATTTATTGTTGAATGCTAAACTTAGTTAAAAATAGTTCACACTTAACATTACACATAACTACAGGGAATTAATCCTTTTTTTCCATATAAGGAAAGTTAACTTAGATATAGACTCTTAAAAATATTCTCTAGAGGAATATTTTAAAACAAGCATGCATTCGAACTAATATTTTATCATATTAAAAATTCATTTCAAATAAATACTTAATATTTAAAATAATATGTTATGTTTGGAGTTTTATTTCCTAGTTTCTGTTGTTTTGGATTTTTGGATGTTTGGAGATTTATTTTCTAGTTTCTTAGGTGTAACTGTGAAAAAATCCAGATATAAGACAAAGCTATCGCAAATATTGTTTCTTCAATTTTTTCATAAGACATGAAAAATTGTTACTTCCAAAGCTATATTGGATCTTTCGTCTTGATTTTATGCATTGAATAAAAATTGCTGTAATATTCTCTTACCTATCCAAATTTGAACTATGACCCATCTCTCTGTTAAGTTCGGTTTGTCTTTGTCTCTTTATGAGTCCCTTTTAGAAAAAGAACCAAAGATCAAAATTACATTATTTTCTGATATAATCATCGTACTTGGATCTTTAAATCAGCGCTTAAAACTGCGCTTCGTTCACATGAGTCTTTGGAAAGAACAACAACATAATTTTTAACCAGGTTAAGTTTTCATCATTATACTGTCCAAAGCAAGAAACACACTGAGAAAAAAAATATAGTCAAACCTACCATGACAATAAAAAACAGTTTTTTATTATTGTACATATAAAAGCTTTATTTCTTTTAAGGCACACATAATACAATTTTATTCTTTTTATGAACTATGCATTTACTTATTCACAAAGTTGTTTCGACAAAATAAAATTATATTTCAATTTTACCTACGTAAATAAACGAATGTTTCGTTGAAACGTAATATTATAATAACAAACAATTTTTCTTAAAACTTAAAATGTGCTTACTTTAGACAATTTTCTTTTTTTAACAAAACGTCAACTATAATCCATTTTACACTAATTTATTATTTAAAAAAAAAATACATGAAATTTTAAAACAATTCTCGATAAAAATGTCTTTCTCAACTTTAATCCCAGCAATTCTTAACTTAAAGTAATTTTTCGCTAAGAAAACAACTTTGGTTTTCAATCTCTTTTTCTCTAATATATTTATAAAAGCCACGCATAACTTAGAACAGAAAAACAAAAATCTGTCTTTCCAGCCAATCGATCTTTCCGACAAAACTTTTGCGTCTTCGCCTGCCCAATTCTTCCCATTTCTACTCTTTCGCCTTTACGTCAAAACTGAAGTGAAGAAGGTATTGGGAATTTGATAGGACGGTTTTTGACTGACGTCATGCGAAGGTGACGAAGATAAAGATGAGCAGACGAAGAAAGAATACAACGAATGAGAGTGGGAATTTTGGTAGAAAAAAAAAACTGCACAAAGAGAGTAAATGAAAAGAGGAATGCTTTCAAAACCAGATGCCGAAGTGATAGGACCTATATCTTACCCACTTGCCCTTCTTCCTCACGACAAGCAAAAAAAAGGGAATTTTTTCAAACCCAATCTCTTAGCATTTCTTGCATGCTGTCGCGTAAAATTTCTAGAAAAAGAAAGAATTTTGCGAAATATATATGTATATGTTTTCTTCACTTTCATTTTCAACTATAGAAATGCCAGGTAAAAATAGCTGCTACGGAAAGAAACTGTAGCTAGGAGTTGAATTTAAAACAGTTTTTTTTCTTTTAAATAGAACGCTGTTTTTCAAGAAAAATATATTGTAAAATGTTGCAAGTCTGGTGAAAAAATTACTGGTTAAATTATTGCGTTCTTAAATAAGCACTGCAATATCATGAAAATATATTTTTTACTAAAATCTCCTTTTTATATGATAGATAAGCTACACTGTAAAATATTTTAGGGTATAGTTGCCACCATTTTTGATGTTGAGTTAATATACAATTACGTTAAATACATTTTCAAGAGCAAAATCTTAATTATCGTGCAAAAGATAATATGAAATTGACAAAATAACAAATGTTTGAAAAAATTAGTACGAATATGTTACTAAAAATATATTTGATTTCCAAATAAAATGTTTTTGCATTAAATTGAAATGTGCACACAAATACATGTTTTCCGTAAACAAGCAAAAAATGAGTATACAAATAAATAAAACTATCATAGTAAAAAAGTAAAGAAAAAATATGACTACATGCACAGCAAAAAATTTTAGTTTTCTTCAACAAGAAACAAGAAAAATGGCGGGCTCGATCACCAAAATTTGTTACAGTGTAGCGATCAATCTCGAGTGGATTATCTTCAGTATTTACTTTATTTTTAAAATTTTTAGTATCGCTAAATAACTAGTCGAAGTTAAATTTTTCAGAATTGCTACCATGAGTGATACATTAAGGATGATGCCTAGTATTTTTATAACTGATACCCCTACAAATACCAGTTCTAGCCAATTTTTCAGGCATTTTTCTTAATCCAAATAGCATACTTAAAGATCATATAGTTGGACCATACAAACAAATATTCTCTGATTTCAAGAATGCAACAAAGAAACTAGTTTCTCCCTATGGTATATCTTATTTCCAATTATATCTTATTTCCAATTATATCTTTAACTACAATATTACTAGCATTCCTTAATAATACGATGAAATATTTAAAGCTTTATTTAATTTATTTTAAAATTGTTTCACAAAATCTTTGGTGCTTTATTTCTGCCGTGATATTATTTCCTTTCTTTTTAATTAAAGTTATTTTATTAAACGTAATTATTAACCCTAAGCAAGTAACAATATATTTTATTAATTAGTTTTAAAAATTCATATTATATAGTTATTTTTTAAAAATGCAATGGTTGAAATCCTTCTGATATTTGATTAACCTTTTTCTTACGGCGCTCAGCATGATGAAGTAATTCTGGTCATTCTTTACTTAAATGCTGGTCCTCACTTTTGTTTCATTCAATTTTCATACTTATATTGGTCATACTTGTCTACTTATTGTACCAGCCGTAATCAAAGGTTTAAGGTTATTGATTTCAACTATAATAACCACAGAGTAACAATAAAAATTACGGAAGAATTTCTTTTTTTAAAAATGGTAAGCGACGAAAACGCATTTTAAATTCTAACACTTTTTTGTTTAAAATTCAGTTGGAAGTTTTTTGGGTTATTTACGTACTATGACATTCAAAATAACTTTCAAGGGAATTCAAAATAATTTAAATTCACTAGTAGGTTTGCTAACTTGGAATTTAGCGTCTCTCTATATGATTTTCTAAATTGGAAGCTCTGCTCCTCACTAAATGACAATAACACTTTGCCTTTTCATATAAATTCTCATGCAGCCGTGGTAGATAAGGGGATAGAGCTGTCGCTTTACAATGCAGTGAACCAGGTTCGAAGGCCAGCAATTGCTGGTAGATATGATTTCCGCACCCGACTCACGCCGAGCACTGTTCTGACGTAAAATATCCTCAGTGGTATATCTGTCACAGGTAATAATCCCTTTGCGATCAAGCTAACCGTGGGAGGTTTTCGTAGTTTTCCTCTCCATGCAACGTAAATGCGGGTTAGCTCCACCTGAAAAATCCCCCACGAAAGCAAATTTCTCCCAATACTTGATCCATAAAGTATCTTTTCCTCTGGATAGGGTACAAAATTACAAGGCTGCGGAGTTGAACATTAATAATCGAAAACCGAAATATTGAGTCGGCTGTTCAACGACGGTTGTAAAATAAAAATATTCGCATGCATTCTGTTCATTAGGAGAGTTGAATTTTTGAACTCAATTTATACTGGAACATTTTGCAGGAAAGTTTAGATTTGTATTTAAGAAATGTAAGAATTTTAAAAAAATTTTTTTAGTTTTTTCTTATTTTAAAAGTATATTACGATTCAATTATATTAAAATAAATACTGATTATAATATAGATAATTTAAAATTATTAATATTGTATACTTATTACCTATTGCCTTTTTTCACATTGCAAACATTTGCAATACGTGGTAACTTAAAATTTTTAACTTTTGTTCAAGAACATTATTTTTAAATTATTATCTTTTAAATTTTAAAGAAGAAATGGAGAATTCTAGCCAATATTAAATGAATTTTATCGATTCCTCTAGCTATTGCATGTGATACGTAAATTAATAATGTGATACGTAAAGTTTTTTTTTAAATAAAAAAAAAATTATTATTATATTTTTCTCTATGAATTCACACTCATGACTTATTTATGCAATTCTGCTTAGTTACACTTTGATAATATCCTTATAAAACTTAAAGATTATTGTATGAATCAATTATTGACTGCTAGTGTTTTCGCAGACGGTGTGAGATTACCAAACAACCACAGGCAAAAAATATTTCCCAATGGGACATTAATCGTTCGAAACCTGGAAAGAAATTCCGACTCTGGATCATACAAGTGCATTGCTTCAAACGCAGATGGAATAAGCGCTGAAAATTCTCTATTTATTAAAATCATTGGTAAGAAAATTTTACTGTATTTTTTCAAAATAACTTTTAACATTATGATGGCCATACTGGTATGTATATTGTATAACATTCCATTTTCATTTTCTCTTTGACAAATGTTTAAAAAATGGTTTTTTTAATAGAGTATTTATTTTATATTTGTTATTTTTAAATACAGAAAGTCTTTAAAATGACTATATCATCGAATGATAAAAATCATTGTAAAAAGGATACTTCTGTCTGATCGTGTAGCAACGATGTTTAAAATGGTTTGATCAATCATAATAGCTATGTAACGAGTTAAATTTCAAAATAATTTATAATTATATTCATTTTATCATTAAGGACAAAGTTTTGTCACTAAGGTTTCCTTTATCAAAGAATAATTTGACATGTTTTCTTGTAAACCTAAAATGAAGTTGGCGACGTCTGGAAGCAATTATCCATTTAATTTGTTTTCTCACAAGAGAATGAGAAAAATATCCAATAATTGGGTTAGATAATAAATAATACTTACAAATAGCAATTCAGTTATTGTACCATTAGCTTTGCGTTTTCGAAGAACTATATTGGAGTAATTTTTAAAAAAACAAAGAGGAAAAAGAAAAACATAATAACAAATTTGTTTCAAAAACGCTCTTATAAAAAATAAAAAGCCACAAAACAAAACAACAAAAGGATATAGTCAAACAAAAGGATAAAGGATTCAGTCAGCTCACACGATTGAATCTGTAAATTAGAGTGCTCTCTAATATTGTATTAATAAATAGAAAGCAAAATATATCAATACAATAATACAATTCTTAGCATAGAAAAATCAACATAAGTGGCAGAAAATTTAAAATTGAGATTTTTATATATTTGGTATCTTTGTATATATAAGGTACTTATTAATAAAAATTTCAAAACTACATTTTGTTAGATATGTTTTTTTAGAATTCTACGTTATCGCTTGTAGCCAATAATAGTGAATGTCAATCGAAAGAAATTAGTAGTCGAGCCATTTTCGTGAATCTTGAAATCTATCGTAATGTTTATCGCAAACAGTATATATAATATATGTATATATGGGCAGATCTCTAAAACCTTTAACTTTTGATAATAAAAAAAAAAAATAATAATAATAATAATAGGCACACTGTTTTTACACCTCCAGAATTGTTTGAAAATGTATAAAATATCAGAAAATAATAGTGAACATCGAAAATTTTGATGCCCTTATAAGTATAAACAAAAAATTAAAATTTTTGAACTAATTTTTCTAGGTTTATAATCACAAACTATCATTCGGTGAGGTTACAGTTACGATGTCTAGACGTAATCAGACTCAGATCTAGAAAGTGAATGTTAAAATCAATCAAAATTTTGATCACGCGTTTGTGATTGCCTAATTTATTTTCTGTGTTGTGTGCATCACATTGCGTTGCATCTGAGTAAAGTTTTCGATCTATTCTCTAGGTTGTCCAGACCGTAACCCTGTCAAACAGTAACCTCAGGATTAATTAATTGAATTTAATATATCAGAACTTAGTTTTTTCCCTATGTTTTTCTAATTGAAGATATTTTTTGACTGAAAATAATTAAAGTAAGCCATTTGATACATTTTATAACAATTTAACTTAATATTAAAATTTTTCAATTCATTATGACACTAATAATTTTTGATGAAAATTGAGGGGTAAATATGGACGAAATTAGTAAAAAGAAAAAAAATGATCAATAAAAGAAAAATAGGTTCAATAAGTTTATATGTTTATTAAATAAATGATACTTTTGTCGTTTTTATGATTTTTAAGGAAATCTATATAAACCTAAAAAAATTAGTTCAAAAATTTTAAATTTTTGTTTATACTTATAAGGGCATCAAATTTTCGATGTTCATGATTATTTTCTGATATTTCATACATTTTCAAACAATTTTGGAGATGTAAAAATAGTGTGCCTATTATTTTTTATTATTTTTTCTTATTATCAAAAGTTAAAGGTTTTAGAGATCTGCCCATATATATATATATATATATATCGAAATTAAATTTTTTGTGCTTGATTTTGTAACCA